GAGGGGCTAACAAGTTCTACAAGCAAGCTGAAGTTCTGAATGACTCTCATTTCCTTGAATTTCAGGGAAAGCGGGGATGGAAGGGAGGGGAGGAGAACAGGTGTGTTGTGATCAGATTGCGTACCTGTTACTACATTATCAAACTTAAAATCTGTGAAAGAAAATCCCTATTTACTGACTTCACAAGTAATTTTGAGGAAGCACTACTCAGAAAGCACCTTTATTCCATGTAATTTCTAAAATATGGCTGATATCACTAACGAGTCTTTACATAAAGAGACATAACCATCTGTTACATAGGATGAGACAAAGTATGACTTTCAGAATCATCAGTAACACCAAAACCATTTACTCATCTTGAACATTTTTATGCTTTTAGAAAGGGAAGTATGAGTCCCAAATCATCTAAACATGAGATTCCAGATTGATTTTTTTTCTTAAACACTTCCTAGAGATTTTTCCACTAGTCACTGCTAATGACTTAAATGTAGCACTACACAACCACATGCTATGTAGTTCTGTTCATCTGTCCTCTTCCCTTTCAAAAGGATCCTAGAAGAGCTTCTGTCTCTTAGAGCTCTTTTAAAGCTTTCACTCCTCAAACTGTAAGGCTCCTTTTCATTAAAAAGATATGATAATTCAACCAACACTATATTGATTTTCTAAATGATGCTGTACTTCCAATTGTTTTGTTTGTAGTGACCTAATAAATAAATCACATGAATCTGAAGTATTTTCTTCCTGATCTGTTAACTATGCTGTTAATTCTTCAGATGAATGTAAAAATACATGTTGGATATAGCTTTAAACCACTGTAGCTGGGGAAGGCATATTTGAACAGGGTACTAACTGCCAGACTTTGTTCGGAACAGGCTGAAACTCCTTGGCAGACAGATCTATTCTAGTGCTTGTTTTGGAGCTACATCAACAACAAAGAGCAATTCCCAGGATGAAAATTAAGCAATGTGGGGGAACAACCACCAAACAAACCCCAAAACCTAATAAACAATGTTCAAGGGCTAGTTAGAAATACAATTGGCCTTTTCCTCACTCTTAAAATGTTGCCTCTGTATAAGCAGTGTCATCACAGAGTTAAAAGCATCTATTCTAGAGATTCCAGGTAAGTCAACACAACTAAAAGGGCTAGAAGTAAAGCAAAAGCATTACGGCACTTCAGAAGAAAACAGCATAAGCTTAACATTTTTTTATTCTCTTCAGAGATCTACATCTAATTCTTATTCTCCTCACCAGAATGCTTCATACCAGCAAATAATGAGTCGACTAAAAATCCTCCCCTGCTGTCACAAGCAGAGATGTCTCTTCTTCATAAGCCAAGCATTCAGAAGTACGGATGAACAGAAAGCTTTATTTAGAAAAAGAAAGTATCATGTCAAGTACACAACACTGGAGATGAAGTGACTAGAGGACCTTAAATATGGAACTGCCAAAATATATCTACTGATACAACAAGCCCAATAATCCATCCCTAGGGTGAACATGAGTCTGCATAGAGAGGAGTATTAAACCATTTTTTGCATCTCTAGTTACCTCATCCAACTCTTACCAGTCTCAGGCCCCAAAAGTATATCAGTGGACATCTGTGCTGCAACACATTATCATTTGGACGTTATGTATGTATTTGCATCCCTCCTGTAGAGGTTTGAGTTTTGTTTACTGTATTCTTGGGAACATACGTGCACACTCCCATAGATTAGCTCCTTGTATCAACTACATCCACGCTTGCCAAATTTCAGGATCCTTTTCCAAGTCTTGTGCAACCTTGCTTGTTCTGGTATCATGAGAAATAAAAGATTTCCTGTTTTAACTTCTCCCTGCATCACTTATTTGCTACTGCTGTCACACGCCTTCACATTGACCATCTCTTTAAACATTATATTACATTCAAGTTTTCTTCTCCAAAACATCTTTTACTACTTTTCTTTACAACACCTCTCTTGCACTCACATTTCCAAGCTCTTAAACAAGCCTCCCATATAAAAGCTTTTCCCAGAGAGATGCCTATTTGATTTCAACAACTCTTTCTACCAAACATTTTGTGACAAAGGACTTACTTTTTTATTCCTTCTTTCCACTGGCATTCTTCTTATGATATACATATGAACTTTCTTTGACTGCTTATTAATAGAAAACAGAGTTCCCAGACAGAATATGCTCACTTTGGATGCAACAATCCTTTTCACTAGTTTCCTTGTTCATCTTTTTGTTTAGGAAGGGGTAAGACTTCCACAGATTTCTTCTTCCAAGGATGTTAAACTTAATTATATTTCAGCGTGAAGAATGTAAAAAGGGTGGAAAAAAAATTCACTCTTGAGATAAAACTTCCAGATGATGACAATCAAAGAGTCTTTAGAAGTTAAGTTTCATTTCTACCTGTGGATGCCAGAACCACGTAATCAAAAATAGATGCAAGTCTTACAGGTTCCAGTAAAGAGGGAAAATCCTCAGATGAAACTTCCAAGTGAGCTTTTTTCTTACTCCATGAGATTACAAAAGTCTAGCTGGGGAACAGACTCCTGCCCCCCCTCCAAAAAAATAAAAATAAAATACCCAACACCATATATATATATATATTCTCAAAACAACATTTTAAAAGGTATTTATGAAAATGATATCCTCAAAGAAGCACTGCAGGCACTACTAAATGCTGTAAATCTTGTAGAAAGGATTCAAAGTGCTGCTAATTTAAGAATTGCCTACAGTAACAGGGAAAATTCATTCTCGCATTTTTTCCAATAAGGCTGTCCAGACTGTTCTTGTTTTGGAGGGGAGAAAAAAAGTCAGGCATAATAGAGTGACTTTGTTCTGTTCTCTTCTTTCCCGCTACTCTTCCTTCTCCCCACTCACCATAGTCAGGAGAGAGAGATTATAACCCAGAGGCTTCCATCAGAGTCTGCTGTTAACTGCATGTGCTCACAGCACATACACAGAATTAATGATACCCGGCCTGACTTTCAGAGGCATGGCACAACAGTTTACTCCCACTCAAATCCATGAAAAATTGAAGTCAAACCAGTTAGGCTTTAACATTGACATTTGGCTTCCATCATAGAAGCAATAGTACATACTCAGGAAAAGAAAAAAAGTGTCTGAAAGCAAACAAGACAGGCAACAAAGCTGATAGCTAGGTACTACCATACGCTATTCCTGCTATTGTAACAATTTCTTCGTTTTACTGACTCAAAGATAGGAATGAGAGTAATAAATCCAAACCTGCCACATGACACTAAGATCATCCATAGTAAAGTGTTAATGACACACACTTAGCCCACTGCAGCAAGCTGCCTTCCCTGCTATCACCTACACATCAACTGTGATTCAGTACTCAGGGAGTTTTAATGGTTTGTTTGTATACTTAAGCAGCTGATCATCAACTATGCAAATAATTAAAACACATTTTCTGTCTAGAAGAGCAGGGAAAGATGCAAATGACATAAGTTTTAATTAGAAGATGCAGACACTTTTTTTTGCCTTCCTTTTGCAACATTCTAACAGTCTAATGCTACTCCTAAGTCCCCTTGAGGCTAAGAAAATGAGTAGCACTGCTTCCTATAAACAGATCAATAGAGGTTTTCTAGAACTAATCAGTGCCATAAACAGCACTGTTACAAGTTTATAAGCCACAGCACTGCCTTACAAGAGAACTGTGTCAATATCTGCCTCTTAAGTACAAGGTCATATTTATCTATCCAGATAAACATGAACTTCAAACAAATACCGAGGCCTTCAAGTATAAAACTTAAGCAGATGGCAACCTTTTAAACACACCAGAGAACACTTCCCACTTCTTCTTGTGGCTGCCAGAGCACTGAAGAATCCAGATCTCCACAGAAGCTGTGGGCAGGCAGAAAATGGCACTGTGAGGACACAATGTACCGAGTGCAAAATACGTGCCTAGAAGTTCCACTCAAAGAAACCTCAAGTTTAGTATATACTGGGATCTGAAATGTGAAATCGGTGTTCTCACCATGAGAACATCCACTCAGTTTGAAAAGAAGCAACAAAAAGACATAAATTAGATTGATTAAAAAAGAGTTAGAAAACTAATCTCACAGTCCTGGTCACAGCTCTGCTACTGACTCCCTATGGCCTTTAATCTTTCACCTGCTTAGCACAACGAACACCTCAATGACCTCATCAGGACAACGATGTGAAGGTCCAGCGGATGTCCCTGTGCACAAGCTGAGGCACATCAATTCATTCTGGGGTCACCTGATGCAGAACCTGAGTCACACAGTCAGATCTCAGAGGAAGGGAATCCAAACATCTTGCGAGATCAGGCGTCACCACCCCTGTTGCTGCATACAACATACAGGGCTCCCCCTTCCTATCCAAAAACCACCCATCCATTAAACTAACAGTAAAACACATTGTTAAGTCCACAATTACAAGTTTACCTTCTGTCAAGATACTGGGGGGAAAAAACAAACAAACAGAAAACCACCAAAAGCACAGACAGAGTCTTAAAGACAGCGTTTCTTATTACATTCTCCACTGAAGCAGCACCTTGAAGAAGAACAAAAGGAATTCCCCCTATCTGCTCCCTTTTGCCCTTCCTACTCACAAATTCCTTTTCTACAGATTAAGCTTACTTTCATGAAAAACACATGCTTATCCAGCAAGAAATGGACACATAGGAAGCTTATCTTATCCAAGATTAAGCATCAACAGTACCTTTCTAAAGGCATAGGGACATTGGATAGGCTTATGAACCATGCAAGGAACTGGGAGACAGGACTGGGCACAGAGGTCTGAAGTCCTGTCACTAACTTGATACATGACATCAGGTAAACAACCTCATTCCCTCTCAGTGTCAGCTTACACTTTAGTAAACTGATAATGACAAATTATCTACCTCACTACATAGGTGGAGAACACTTCACTAATTCATGACTACAAAGCAACCTGAGAAGAAGGGGCATAAAGCTAGTACATAAACACATGGATATAAATAGAGGAACAAATTGGGAAAAAAACATTACCCAAAAGCTCCAGTCAGCACTCCAGCTATACTGAGCAGGAACCTGCATCTTCTCTGTGCACGAGCTGTGAGTCTCCTGTGAGTCTGTAACCAGTTGGCTAGTAACACCATGATCCACTTCATCAACTTCCTGTGAACAAGGAAGCAAGCAATGTCATTGGACAATGGAAGAGAATGGTCCTGAAATACGATGTTTAGCTCATATGAGAGCTGTGTATTAAACAAAACTTGACATGCCAGATTTACCTAGGTGAGTGGCATGGAAACACTCCCAACTGACAGGCTTTTAATTGTTTTTACAGAGTATGCTGTATTTAATTATTACTTACATTGTTATCAGAGCATATTATTTCCTCAGCAGCACCTCAACCAACACACTGAAGCCACACAGGCATGTAACACCAGAATAATATTAACACAAGACACCAGCACATAACACACAGAACATCTGTAAGATCTGAAGGGCCTCTGAGTGAGTGAGAAAAGCCATGGAAAATCACAGAATCACTAAGGATGGAAATGATCTCTACGATCACCAAGACCAACCATCAGTCCATCTCCACCATGCCCACTAACCCATGTCCTCTGGTGCCATATCTACACGGCTCTTGAACTCCACCATCTCCCTGAGCAGCCTGTGCCACTGCCTCATCATTCTTGCTGAGAAGAAATGTTTCCTAATATCCAACCTGAACATCCTCTGGTGCAATCTGAAGCCATTACCCCTCATCCTACCACTATTTACCTGGGAGAAGAATGCCACCCATCCCCCCTCCCCCCCCCCCCCCCCCCCACACACACCTTGCTACAATGAGATGCAGCGCTTCAGAGGAAGACAGTTCTACCTGCATCACTTATTATAAAAATAAGCACACTTTTGACAACGTTCTTCACTGGGGAGGTCACTTTTATTTCACGAAAGGAAGCTGAGCCTCAGAAAGGGGAAGACACTTGCCCCAAGTCCCACGGCAAACCGGAGCAGAAGGAACCACCGCCTATAGCGGTGATCTAGAGAGGCAACGGAAAAGGCAAAGCCGCGTTCTCAGCCCAGAGGGAGCCCAGCCTCACCACGACCTCCAGCAGCTGTCCCGCGCCACCACCCCACGCCGCAGGCAGAGATCTTAACGGCGCAGAGAGACTTCCCGACCCGCTCTGTAATTAAGTTAAGCCCCGGGCACCCCGCAGCCACTCCGCGGGCGGCCGGCGCCTCCCCGCGCAGCCCCGAGAAGAGGCCGAAGCCGCAGCGGGGGGCAGAAAGCCGCGGGCCCCCTCCTCCCCGCGCCCGCCCCCAAAAACTTTCCGGAAGGGCGGAGGCGTCCCCCAGGGAAGGACCCCCGCCGCCCCTACCTGCGCAGCCCAGAGGGGGCCGGCGGGATAGCGGGCCGACGGCCGGGGCGCGGAGCCCGCCGGCGGGGCCGCAGAAGAGCAAGAGCGAGCCGGCGGGGAGGGCGCGGAGCGCGGCGCTTACCATGGAGGGGGGCGAGAGCGGCGCGGCGCCCGCGAACTGCCTGAGCGGGGCGCACGGCGGGGCCGCGGCCGCCATTTAAAGGGGCAGGCGCCGGCCGGGCCGCGGGGCGAGGACCCGGACGGGAGGCGGTTGCCAGGGAAGAGCGGCTCAGCGGGAGGCCGCTCGGGGGCCGCCCGCGTCGAGGGGCTGCCGGGGTGGGCGGAGAGGGTCTGTGCTCCCCTCCGCCCACACACGCACGGGTCGGGGTCAGCCTCACCGACGCTTTTAGGGAGCTCAGTGAGGGCTGCGCGGAGTCGGGAAGTGTTTAGGAGTGCGGCCGGGGCGGATGCGGGTGGGCCGCGGCTGCCTCTTCTCCTGACAGCGGGAGGCCTCGGGGGCGACGGGCGGAGCCGGACCCGCGCCCCGCTTGTGGGTAACGGCCGGAGCGGGGCTGTGCGTTAAACGGCCAGCTCGCTCCAGGGGGACACCTACAGGGGGAGAGGGGTAGCCGGGGTGAAGAAGTCCCTGTGATGGACATCCCTTCCCAGCCGTGGGGCCTGGACAGGAGGGCTGTGTGCTGCCAGCAGAGAGTCTCCAAAGTGTACAAGGAGGTGCAATAAAGAACACTATGTTTAGTTCTCTTTTGTTGTTTGCTTTCTTAATTTGGACAGCCGAAATCCACATTTTCCAAACTCTTCTCAATGTCAGCCAGGGGATGGTCTTTCCTTTTCATCCAAAAGTTGGAATTCTCTCTTACTCTTACTGGGTTATCCCATGTGAGAAGCTTCACGTTGAACTGACAGCTGCCAGCAGCAGCGAGAGCACTTTGTATTCCCTTACGACTGGCCAGCCTGACAGCTTTGCTCAGTCACGTCCTATTAAAGGGTGGATTCACAACAGAATTACTGTCACAGGATAAAATGAACACGAACACCATTTGCAGAAACAACAGTAGAACATCCACCACAACACACTTAAGGAGTTTTTTTTAGAAGCATACCACGTACTTGAATTTATATCAGACGGAGTCTGGAATCTCTTTGATCCAGCTATGTCTTCCCACATCTTCTCTGCCATGCAGCCATGGCTGGTAGCTTTGCCCCAGCTGCTCTACATCTGCCAAGTGCCTCTGACTTTGCTCACTACTCAGTCTTGTTAGATTTTGACTCCTCTTAATTCCTTGTACTCCAGCACTTGGGTCCATGCCCACTGCCCTGTGCAGCCCGTTCTGTGCCCACCACCCTCTGGTGCAGACCCTGTCCCTCACCCTCATCTGCCCTCCCTGACACAGCTCCATGCCGTTCCCTCGGGCCCTGTCGCTGTCACACAGAGCAGAGCTCAGCGCTGCCCCTCCGCTCCCTGTGAGGAGCTGCAGCCGCCATCAGGCCTCCCCTCAGCTCCTCTGCTCTGGGCTGAGCACACCACGGGACCTCAGCTGCTCTCCATACACCTTGCCCTCCAGACCCTTCCCTATCTTCATAGCCCTCCATTGGACACTCTCTAATAGCTTTATGTTCTTCCCATACTGTGGTATCCACACCCGCACCCAGTGCAGGAGGTGAGGCCACACAGCACAGAGCAGAGTGGAACAACTCCTCCCTTCGCCTGACTGGCAGTGCTGGGCCTGATGCACTTCAGGGTATGATTGGTTCTCTGGGCTGCCAGGGTGCTCTGCCGACTCACATTCAGTTTGCCATCAGCCAGAACCCCCAGATCTTTCTGCAGGTCTGCTCTCCAGCCTCTCACTCCCACTGTCTGTATATAGATCCATCTTGGGTGCAAAATCCATCACTTACCATGTTAAACTTCATGTGGTTGATGATTACCCAGCCCTGAAATTTGCCAAGATCTCTGTAAGGGAGTCAACAGCTCTTCCTAATTTACTATCATCCACAAACTTACTTAGTATACCTTCGAGCCCTGTATCCAAGTTACAAAGAGAACTGGTCCTAAAATTGAGCCTTTCAGAAGCCCACCAGTGACTTGCCACCAGCCTGATATAACACAGTTTGCTACTATAACCCTTCATACCAAACCTGTCAGCTGGTTCTTCACCCACCACATTATGTTTTTGTCTAGCTATATACTGCACATTTGTTAAGAAAGATACTGTGAGAAACACATTTCTTTACTGAAACAATCATCTGGTTCTGCTTGGCTAGCTAGCTGGGTAAACTTATAAAAGGAGATTAAGTTTGTCAGTCAGGTCTTTCCCATTGTCAACCTATGTTGTTAGTGATCAATGGCTGCATTGTTTTTCAGGTATTTTTCAATATCTTACAGAATAATCTTCTCCGTAATTTTGCCAGGCATTGAAGTGAGGCCAACTATTCTGTAAACACCAGGATGTTCTTTCTTGCCCTTGAAAACTGTGACAGCACTTATCAGCTTCAGGTTGACTGGAACCTCTCCAGATTTCCAAGACCTGATCCTTTCTTGATATTTTCTTTGATCTCTAGCACTTAGTTAATACTATTTTCAGAAGAGCCTTGTAATCTAGCTTTCATTGTGTACAGCTAAGTGCTGTGTTGTTCTGCACAAAGACCCAACTCCCTTCTTTAAAAATATTATACTTCAGAAAAATTCCTACCTGGTAATTCCACGTCTTCCTACTCTCCCAACCAATTTAAAGCACAGAAGAAATACTTGCTTCTGGGTTCTTCAGCCATTCTGTATTCTCCCCTTTTTGTTGATACAGGTGTATCACATGAAAATTAAATATTTTTCCTCCTGATGTTGTTTGGTCAGCAAGTTTTTGCAAGTCAGATGCTGAATTTCTCAAAACAGTTATTGTGGACCATCCGCATGCAACAATGCAAATCAAAGAATTTATCAGAATAATTCTCACGAAAGCCATAGCATTAGGACAATTTTCCTCATGGAATGGTAGGGTCTTTTAGTCACGTGTGGGTTGCTTTGCTCTTTTTTTTT